TTTTGAGTTCCCAAAAACGAAACTTCGGAGCAACTTCAAGCTTTGCTTCAAACTTGTCTCCAACTTTTACATTAGTACGCGCTAAGCTCGTTCAACTCAAACGGCGTAGTTCCGTGTGTTGCGCCGTCCTACTCCCGTTGGTGATAAGATTAGTGCGTCATCTGCTCCCGAACCATGTCAGACAACAGTGACAATGAGCGGTGAGCTTGATTTACGAGATTTCCTGAAAGCATGTGAACTATTCCACAAAGCTTAAGTCTGCCAGATACTGTTAGAAAGACCATTGAGGGAATTGCCGTAAATATTGTTGATACATATTATGAATATACAAAACATGATATTTATACTTATGGTAATATTGATGTCCACTATTATTACTTTTGTTATTACGTTTGTTAACACATGTTGGTGGGTTATTATTATTACCATTTATGTTATAACATTAAATTGATTGTTATAACATTTGTCGTGCAGCGGTGATGTATTGGCAAATGGCACCGCCCCAGGTGCATGGTTGGTGGTCAAATTCTGAAAGGAATCCTGTCCAGACCAATCAAGCCTTCCATAGATGTACACTAATTTTCCATCGACTGGGACCAGATCTTATTGTGCGAGCTCAATCGCATTCAAAAACCCACTGCTACATTGATTGCAAAAGGAATACATAGCTCATCCCAGGAATAAATTGATCAAAGCTGCAAATTTTGTTCTTTATATACTTTTGTTGTTATTAATTTGTTACTGTTGTTACTTTTATGGCCTTATGGTGTTATTGCTTGCTAGCACTGTTAGGTGCTCTATAGGTTTGTTGGCGCTATCGCAATATTCGGGGGCATCCTTTAGGACTGAGCTTAGGAGGGGCAGAATCATCGAGAAAATGAGAATTGAAATCTCTTCTCACCTATTCTAAGGCTTGGTCCCGTTTTTAACGACAAGGAGATGTACCACGCGGTTTCAAGCGCATTGCCAACACAATGCCCCCGTATCCTGCGAAAGCTTCGGTCTGTTTTCCCCTGAAAAAAAAAACAGTGA